CTGAGCCAATTTGCTCAGAGTGTCCTCAAAACGCAGCACTAGCTTCTCTTGGGAGGTCTTTCGGAGTCCTTCTGCCACCTCCAAGGCTGTGGGTAACACAGGGCTTTTGAGGATTCCAGGATCCTGAGCAAAGCCCACTCTCCCCAACAGGATCTGCCCACTCAGCGGCTCCACTATCCTCTCCCACCAGGCCGGGTCCCTTTCTCCTTTGCCCCCACCTTCTCCCAACGGGCTTCTCCCTCTCAGAGGGGCTGGGGATTTTGAACGCGGGGGCCCTGGGTTAGGCTGGAGCACTGGCCTCACCTCTCTGCTCTTGCTTCTGCACAATGTCGGGATCCGGCTGTCGGTCATGGTTCTTGAGCTTGAGGAATCGGTGTAGCTGCTCCAGATGTGATATCTGTCGCAGCAAGATCTGGGCCTCTGTCTCACTCTGAGCCAGCTCCTTCACTGCACGCTCCCGCAGCACGCCCATCTTGGTCTTGGCCTCTTCCCTGGGGGAGGTTGGGCATATCAGTAAAAACAGAAGATGGGCGAGTGATTGAGCTGGGGTCAGCCTGGGCATGAGGGCGGACAGTGCCAGCTGGCTTCCCGAGGATGCTCACAAAAGGCAAAGAATGTTCTAGGCTGGAAGGGCTGGGTCAGAATGGGGCTAGATATAACAAGCCTGGTGGACACACAGGGGGCACAGAAGCCAGACATAGAGACCAGGAATCATGTGCCCATTTACTTGGAAAGGCAAGGGATGTGATCAGGCCCTGACAGAGATGATCCCCAGACTCAGAAAGGGCAGCCTGGGTAACACTGGAGTGTGGATGCTCTGTAGCTAGAAATGGGTGCGGCTGGGCAGTGGGGTCTTTTCCACACTCCAGCACACCACATTAAGGCTGGAGGACCCTTGCCTAATATGGGTCTAAAGCTTTCTTATCATAAATGGCAAATAGTCCCTGCCCTGGCCCATTCCAGTTCTGATCTCATCTCTGTCAACTTTGGGGTTCTCCTCGCAGAGCCGCCCCTGAGAGCTAGTTTGGGTCATTCTCCTACCTACAGAGCCTCCCCAGGCAATAGTAAGCCCCAGCCCCAAGGGACCTCTTGGCTGGTCAAGCCACACATCCCCAGAACAGAAATCAGCCTGTCCCTGTGCCCCACCTGACTGTCCACTGCAGGTAGCTAAATGAACTGACCACTAGGCCATCAGGCAGAGAGAATCAGATTCCCTCCCTCAGAGTCAGAACTGAGAGAGCAGGTGAAAACAAGACCAAGGATAGGAGGATGCCTAGACAGAAGGACAGAGGTCACAGGTCAGCTGAGGTGCGGAGAAGGCTGACTGTGCGCTCCCACAGCTACAGCTGCTTCTGAGTACAGAACGGTTCTCCATAGAGGCCTCCGGGGCTCCCAGCCCCTGGAAACCAGCCCTGAGTGTGTCTTCAGGCCTGAAGCTGTCACAGGTGGAATTCCCTATTTACACACACGCAGGGAACAGAGTGTAGAGTCAGGGACATTTTGGGGGTTCTGCCCATCTTTGTGAATCTCCAACCTTCCTGTCCCCCACCCCTACTGCCTCTGCTACCTAAGTGCCCCTGGGGGCTTACCTGGCAGTGTAAGCAGAGGTAGAGGAAGTGCTGAGAGCTCCCACCATCTCCCGAAGCAGGTGGATCTCCTACAGGGACACAATGAGCTGACTTCCTCCAGCCTTCCCACCAAGAAGGGGCAGTCCCAGGCCTCTACCACAGACCCACCTATGAGCAGCTGTCAAAGAAAGGGTTTTTGTTTTTGTTGGGGGAGGGTGGATTTTTTTTTTTTTTTTTGAGATAGGGTCTCACTGTGTATTTCTGGCTATCTTGAACCTATATCGAGCAGACTGACCTTGAATCAGAAAAAGGGTTTTAATGAGGTCCCAAATGAGAGGAAAACCAGGAGGACGAGTGGGACAGATAACTGGAGCTCACTTGGGGACTGCTCACCCAGAAGAACCACCCAACCTGCCCTCAGTTTGGAAATCTGATTGGAAGTTGTTACTATACTGGGATTCTGTACGGTGTATCCACCAAGGGTCTTGGGATGGGAGCTTGGTCCCTGGGTGAAAATACTGGGAAGTACTTGGACTTTTAAATGGTAGAGCCTACTATAAGCTTGCTAAAGGCACTGACCTCAGAAGAGACAGAGGCTTTCCAGGTCCAACCCTCTGTATCTCACTTGAGTTGACATTCCCCTCATGCCATGTTGTGGTGGACCAAGGCCCTAGACAAAGCAGCCTGTGCAGTTTGGATTCTTCACCTCTGACACTGTGAGCTAAGTTAATCTCTTTACTCTCTAACATTCCCAGCCTCAAACTACTTTGCTATATTGACAGACTAACACATGCTGTGACCGTATAATTCTGTTTTCTAGATCCCTGGAGGTAGCCATGTGTCTTCAGTAAAAAAGAAGGAACAGCTGGGACACTACACACCCATCTACAGACACAAAGCAGCAAACACATGTGCATATAGACACACACACACACACACACACACACACACACACACACCTTTTCAAAAAGAAACCAGGGCTAGATAACCAGAAACTGAAGAAATTGGTAATGCAGGACCACCAGATGTGAGATAGAAGAAAAGCTTTGCCGATATGTTTCCTAGGATGGCTTTTGGAGGTTTGGCTTGGTTTTATGGCGATGGGGGTCTTGGCAGGGGCTTGGGCATGAGCCAAAGAGCCACACTACGGTTCTTTTTATTTTGAGACAGGGTATAGATCTATAGTCCAGGCTGGCCTGCAACTGCCTTCCTGCCTCTGCTCCGGAGTGACGAGAAGACAGATATATGACGCTGTGCCAGCCCCTTTGGAACTTTTTTGTTTGGCTTGTTAGTGTTTTACAGATTTATAAGATAAATTAAGTCAACAAAGACAGGAGAGAACACTAAAAGGGAACAAGGCAGGCTGCACCCTCGGCGGGCAGAGCTCAACCACCAAAACCACAGCATAAAAACTGATTACAGACAAAAGCAAACAAACCTAACTGTTTCAGATGAAAAACAAAACCATGCAGAAGACTGAGAAACAAGAACTAGCCAGGGAGACTCTCAACAGATCTTCTGAATAGGTCCACGCTCAAGCCCTCCTAGGGAGAGACTGACAGCAAGGGTGGGCCATCCAAAAGAATGGTGTTGCCTACAGTGTGCTGGCAATCTGCTATGTCCTGAGGACATAAGCTATACGGAGGAAGGAGAGGAGAGGGCAAGGAAAACCCCATGACATAGTCACAGTGGTATCACTTGGCCCTAAACCTAGATTTTCCAATGCCTACTCACCACTAGAAAAACAAAAAACCAGGACTTTAAAGAGATGGCTCAAGGATTGAGCAGTTTACAAGCACCTGTATCTCCAGCTCCAGATGACCTGTGCACATATACACAAACCCACAAACAGACACACAAGCACATAATTAAATGTTAAAAACAAAATATTTTTAAGAGAAAGGAAATGGGAACTTGGAGAAATAGCAAAGTGCGGGGCTAAAGGGCAGAAAAAGTAAGGAGACCATTCACTGCACTTCCTCTGCCAGAAAGTAAAGAGCCACTCACAAAAGAAACAGGAGAGAACAGGAGAGAGGGCAGGGAAGGGATAGTGAAGATGGCCCAGAGGACGGAATTCAGAGTGAAGCTGCTGTCCCTGCATGGGAGTGAAATGAGAGATGTGTTCTTCCTTCTCTCCCCCTGCACTGAGGTGGTCCTGGGCCCTAGGAGTTCTGCCTGTGGCACAGAGCTGGAAAGGGGTGACAGGGCGTGGGCCCCCTTTCCCCACCTTCTTCAGCTTGCGGTCCATGTTCAGATATCGGCCCCTCCCAATGCGTAGCAAGTTCAGCTCTTCCCGGAGGGTCGAATTCCTCACCAGCTGGATGTCAAAGTGACAGGTGACCTGGGGTGGGTGTTAGAGCACTTATGAGGTTGGGTACCTGCCAGAGGTGGGGACCACCCCATTCCCTCCAGGGGAACCTGAAACCTACCCACCCCAGGGTCCTTTGTTCTCCTTCTAATGGGAGCCCCAAACCCACAGTGTCTGTCTTCCTGACCCTGGGAGCCTCAGGTCCATCCCAGAGAGCCCGAGGCACACACACCCTGTCCAGCTGGTCTTCTAGGATCCTGATCCTTCTCTGTATCTTCATCTTCTGATCCAAGACAGCAGCAGGAGTTGAGACTTCCTTCCTCTGGATAAGGATATGGTTCTCCCACTCCTGGATCTGGAGAGAAGCAGCACCTGTCACATGCCTGGGACAGATGCATCAGTATCTGCCATCCCTGTAGTCACTGGAACCAAGTCTGGGCAACCATGGGGACTGTAGCCCAAGATGAGCCAGCTCTACCCCTCCTGGTGGTGTTCTTATTTTTTATTTAGTTCGGTTGTGTTCTTTTGAGACAGGGTCTCACTGTACATCCCTGGCTGGTTTGGAACTCACTATGAAGACTAGGCTGGCCTTCAACTTAGAGATTCACCTGCCTCTGCCTCTCCTGGTGTTTTTGGAGATGTACAAGAGATGGAAGAGTTGTCATTGCTTTCATGGTCCCCAGAAAGAGAAGGATGATGGAAGACTAAAGCAGCAGGTACTGAGGTTACCCAGGGTCCGCAGAGCCCCCAGTTACTGTTATAGGCTAGATAGTGTCCCTAGAAATGCCTATCAAACATCCTGACCTCCAGTAGCTCAGAATGTGACCTAGAGACAAGTTACCAACAGAATGAGACCAGGACAGCCTGAGCTACACTGAGACCCTGAGGAGGCAGGGGATGGACTCCTGCTGAGCCCTGGGGAAACAACCCAGCCAGTACCTTGATCTTGGACAGTGGTCTCTGGAATTGAGAATCAATTTCAAGTGGATCACCCCATGAGGAGACCTTGTTCCAGGAAGCAAATGCACATGCACCCACGTGCCAACTCTAGGGTCTCCCATGGACATGCAACATGTGATGCCAGGACACATGGGCATAGGTCATACCTACATGGGCTAACAGACACGCCTAGTGGCTTGAGGGTTTAACCACAAGGTGGCAGTGTTTGTCTTCCAGCAAGGTGACATTCTCCTGAACCAGTTTTCAGTGGTTGCTATGACAAAAATCAAACCAAATACAAACCCAAAAATGTTACTGTTGGGGGAAACTGAGCAAAATGTACAGGGGGACTCTGAAAATCCACCAACACCCCAGTTAAGTTTCCAATCACAACACTGGGCTTGGGTAGTTTACACCTTTAAGTCTAGCACTGGAGAGGCAGAGGCAGCTGGGTCTCTGAGCACAGCTGGGCCTACACAGTGAGACCAGGATAGCCAGAGCTACATAGTGAGACTCTGCCTCAAAAAAACCAAACAAATAAACAAACAAGAAAGCCGGGTGGTGGTGACCCAAACCTTTAATCTCAGCACTTGGAAGTTCAAGGTCAGTCTGGTCTACAGAATGAGTTCCAGGACAGTCAGGGCTACACAGTGAAACCCTGTCTTGGAAAAGAAAATGTTTTCTCAATAATACTTTTTGTTAATTTTGAATTCTGAGAGTTGAGTTGTGTGCAATACAGAAGCAGATGCCCTGAGGGCCTTGGGTATCGATTGACCAGCAGGCCAACTCAGAAATGTAAGAAGGAACCAAGCCAAAAACACACACCTAAATGGTGAGTTTCAGGAATAAAATAGAGCACTGGAGAATGGTCTCAGCAGTTAAGAGCACTTGCTGCACTTGACATGATGCACAAGGACCTGTAACTCCAGTTCTGGGAGATCTGATGCTCTCTTCTGTACTCACAGGTACCTCCGTGCAAAATACACATCCACATACTTCACACAGACACACATAAGTTAAAAAAAAAAGGAAGGAAGGAAGGAAGAAAGAAAGAAAGAAAGAAAGAAAGAAAGAAAGAAAGAAAGAAAGGGAAATTTTAAAAAGACAAATATGGCCTGGCATTGGTAGCACGTGCCTTTAATCCCCAAACTGGGGAGGCAGAAGCAGACATATTTCTGTGAGTCTGAGGCCAGCCTGGTCTACAGAACGAGTGCCAGGCCAGGCTCCAAAACCACAGAGAAACCCTGTCTCGAAAAACTAAAACTAAAACAAACAAACAAAAAATAAGAATGAAATATAAACATTTTCCAATCTATGCATATTACTTTTACAGATGGCTCCTGACTTGACCTGTGGTGGCTAAAACATAGCTGTCAAACACACAGCACTAGGGTCAGCTGGGATGACTCAAACCCACAGGTTTGCCAGGACTCTAAGGCAGTGCCACACTGCTGCTGCTGTGGGAACTGACCACTCTTAAAGTTCTCTGTCTGCATAACTGTACTAGTCAGTTTCTATTACTACAACAAACATGTAGAAGCAACTGCATTAGTAAGAGCAAATGCTTATGTGGCTCACAGATCTAGGAGTTCCAGCCTAGATCCCCTCCTCTTGCTTTGGATGCCTGGGAGAAGGTGCTAGATAAGGATGGTGGAGTGTCAGCATCAAAACAAACCTATCCACAAGGAGCCAGAGCCAGTCTTGAAAAAAACAATACAAAACAAAAAACCCCACACTTCCCAAAGTTAGGAAGCAGTCTTTTCCAATGGTTAAAGGTATTCAAAGCTGCTTTTTCAAGCTAAAATTTAGAGTTTGGGAGACAATTTTATTATGCTTGGTACACTGCAGACATGGGATTCTCCTGTAGCCCAGACTGGTCTCAGAACTTACAGCAACCTTCCTACCTCAGTTTCCTGAGTGCTGGTTTTACAGAAGTAAAAACCATCCTTAGCTCTGGATGGAGGCTTTTGGTAGCTCCATCTTTTAGATAAGGTCGCCGCTGTCGAGGCTTACAATTCCTACAACGTCTGATGGGATGACCCACCTGCTTGTCCAGTGCCCGGGTCTGCTCCTGCAGCGCCTCGATTTCGACCTGAACCTGGACCCTGCACTTGAGTAGCTTGTCCATGTCCTCCAAATGCTTGGTGTCTCTCAGTCGCTTGACCTGGCTCTGTGCCACGCTGATCTGCATCTGGAGCTTGGCTCGCAATACCTCCAGCTGCCGAATCTCCTCGCTGTTGGTGAGCAGCAGGCAAAAAGGTCCACACCAGCAAGCCCGCAGCAGCAGCACAGCGCTCACAACCAGCTCCTGCCTGCTGCCCCTCACTGAGACCCAAACCTCCCCCTGACCCTGCACTTCTCCCAACCCCTGCCCTCATCTATTCCTCCCCTGCCTCCTCCTTTCCCAAGCACCTGACTCTCAAAGATCCCACAGCCCTGGCACTCTGTACCTCCTCCAGTCCCTACCCCATATTCTGTCCCTTTCCCCACTACTCCTCTCCTGCCCCTGCACTGCCCTACCCCTCTTTCCTCCTTCCCTCCTCCTAGGACTCAGAAGTCTTGCTTATATTCTTCTCCCAGCTCACAGTTGCTTGCTGATGCGCTGAT